TACAACAAACCAAAACCTTTTGCTATTATTATTTCATTCTTTTAAGCCTTTTAATAAACATATATAACGTTCTCTTCCTTCCTTTCATTCCTTGGCCACATAACCATCACCACACCCCTTAAATCCCACATTGTCCCACCATTGAACTTACACGCTAAGGGCCAAAACCACATCAAACCATAAGCCCAAACAACCGTTACATTCCTTCCATGTAGGGGTCGAAAATACAAGCCAAAAGCCCCTCTCTTATCCCATGTCATGTTATATCTGGGCCTGACCCTATCATACCCTCCCCCGTGTCCCACACCCTCATAGAAACCAAAGGACTTAGGGTCAAACATTATGATCCATTTTAGTGAGAATTCAATGTTCTTTAACCCGAAAGGCCAAATAACTTTCATTTTTGACCTCGGGGTTCTGCTGGCAAATCCCCATTCCGTCCAACCCAACCCCAAACATCCAAAAGTATTTTATTTCCTTTTGATATCCAAAATAAAGTTCTTCCTACTCTTATTTTAGCCCAGGGTCGAAAATAAGAGTGTGTAAACCAAAACCTTTTGTTTCTTGTTAGTTTATTAAACAAATAAAACCCTCCATTTATTCCATTCATCCCCCTGGCCAACATACATTTCACAACCCCAACACAACACCCAAAAAGAGCCAAAATCCTGACCCACCACAAACCATTAATCCCTGCCCATGTTCCCCCACAAATTACCCACACCCATATGTCCAAAACCACTCCTAATATTGCCAGCCATGTCCCCTATTATTGGCCAAACACAACCACTCATTTTTACCCAAATGATATCCTTAAAACCAAGGAAACAAGCACTACAAACCAAAGCTCAAAACCCCCACAACACCACCCCCATCCCTGAATTTTATCCCACTTTGGAGACAGGACTCAATGAGTGTTACCCCATACTTTGAAAGTGGATGTTGCTACTAGGGTTCCTCATGTTTACATTCAATGTATTATGTATTCTCCCCTTCCCCTCTCCCTATATAATCAGGCCCTATGGCCATTGTAAACATAACCTTTGAATATTGAAAACCTTTTACTCTTTGAGTATTCAAAAAATAGTGTAATGCTATTTTATCCAAATTCCTAATTCTATATCTCAAGAGTGGTTATCTTAAGTGTGAGTATTAGGTTCTAGATATTTGATTAAGTGTGTCATATCTTAATTAAATTCTAGATTCGAACCCCAAGTTAAGATAAGGGTGTGTAATATCTCTTAACACCAACTTGGTTTTATCCATCATTATTTTCTATCCATTTCTTTTCCCACCATTTCTATCCTTAATCCCCTTTCTTTCCTCATATTAAAATAAAAAAAGAACTCTTTCATCATCTCCATATATTTCCAAGCCATTTCCCCACAAAACACTCTTTTTCCTGCCCAGAATTCTGCCCAATAATCGATTATCTTGATTGACAATCGATTATCCATCACCGTTGAAACACCTGCAGCCTTCAATAGTCGATTGTCCACTTTAGACAATTGATTATCACTTCCTCCTGAAATCCTCTAGTCTCGAACAGTCGATTATCACCCTGTGTCTGTCGAGTATCGGCCACTCCTGGAATTTCTGGGCTTGATAGTAAAATCCTGATACTCGATTATCAAAAAGAGATAATCAACTATCACGAGCTCCTGAAGTTCAAAGACTGTTCAAGTTTTGCTTCCAATTCCTCCGTAATTTTGCCCTCAAATTACTTACATGATAAGACCCCCGGTTTGGGTATAACATCTGGTATCGGAGCTTTGTGTTGAACATCCCCAAGGGATCATCTTTACACGCCTCTCTCATCTCTTTTGTTACTGTCAACCATACACTCTTCAAGCCATATATCCACCATGCCAAGCTCTTCTCAAAACATGTTTCAAGGTGAATTAGCTGCTGCCTAGGAGAAACTAAAGAAGGAAGTTGAGCTCTTGATGAAACAAATCAAGGACCTCACTAATTCAGTAGAGATTCCCATGTTTGAGGGAAGAAATGACCCGGAGAAGTTCTCAAAACTCCTTAAAACCCATCTATACTTCTTCCTTGGCTACTTCCCAAACTAACCCAACACCCCTGCCCACGCCCCTGCTCCAAAAATCCTCAAAACCCATCTATGTTCCATCCCTAGCTACTGCCCAAAATGATCCAAATACCCATTTAGCACCCCTGCCCCAAAAGTCCTCACAAACTATCTCCTTTTCTTCCTTGAATACTGCCCAAATTAACCCCAAAACTCTACCTCGAAACTTTCCTAAACCCTTGTCCATAACCCCTCAACAAACTGCCCAAAACACCCCCATAACAACCTCCACTTCCACCGCTCAAAACCCCCACAAAACCATAGCCTCTCCACCGAATGCCATGGTCATACCCCCACCAAAAGCCTACCCATCTATTCCTAAGAATCCCGATTTCTTCGATTGTCAAGAGATTGGTTGTTATGCTATTAATGAGAATTTAAAACCATTGGTTGAAAGGGAAGAAGATAAATCAAACTCATCGGGACTTAAGGAAGCACTATATGATGTGAAGGCTCAAACCCATGAAGAACATGAACTCATGATCATGGATAGGACATTGAGCAGTTGGGCTAATCAAAATGATCTTGTAATCAAACCCCTCGTGAAATCGTGTTCCATTGAGTGGCTCAACCATGGAAGAGAACTACTAGTGGAATTACATAGATTTTCTTTATTTCATATTGGCATGCCATGGACACCTAATTTTGTGGATTCATTGAGAAAAGAGGCTTCAATATGTTTACTCCTACCCGTGTCCACACCTCACCAAGGGATAGAACCACGGGCTCATCTCAGTTTAGGTGAAAACAAACCCAATGGTGAATTAGAGAAGAAGGATGTTGCTTCCACCAGAGATGAGTTCTTAGGCTATGGCTTAACTAGCTTAAACATGCGAGTTGATGAGAAGAAATTTCAATGTGGAGCTATGAGCCAAGATGTGGAAGCCTGATCTCAAAGGCTATCTTCACTAACGGTACCTCATGCCAAGTTTGTTAAGTTTTTGCAGGTTCCATGTGATGAAGAAACTTCTGAGTTTTATCATAAGACTCACGAAAAGCTTATGAAGAGAAAGAAGTTGAAAAGTTCCATCCACTTTCAAGTTTTGCTTCCAATTCCTCCGTAATTTCGCCCTCAAATTACTTACATGATAAGACCCCCGGTTTGGGTATAACATGTCATAAGCCTTTTCTTGTCCCCAATTGTGTCCCCCAACTAGGCTGAACAAACAGCCACATTGGCCCCAAGACACATTGGCTCGCAACCACACCAATCAAGCCTCCCTTGTTTCCCCATATACTACCTAAGGGATACATCCAAAAAAGTCAATCCATTCCTCTCTTTGATCCCTTCCCTTGGCCGAAATAACCCCACCATAACAAACCAAATAGGTGGGTTATTTTCACATGGTCATTACCTCCACCTATGGCCGAAATCCCAACCCCATAAGTACAAGGGAGAAGGACCAAACTAGGAGTAAAAGGTATGTCATATCCTCAAAATAGGAGTTCAAACTTAAACTCCTCTAAATAGGAGTAATTAACTTAATTAATAAAACAAAAAAATGCTCTCCACACACAATGCAGCCAATAGATCCACAAATGCAAATAGATCACCACTTTTAAGTTTTACCCCCTTAGCTTAGCAATAAATTCGCCAGTGGCGGCCAAGTCCAAAACTAAAAAAAATCGGCCAACTTCACATTAGCATGCTGCCGACAACGACGCCCACTACTGCAATCATCGTCGATGGTGATGCCCACTTCCGCCATCGTTGCGCCGCATCCCTACCACTAACATTTGAATCTCCACCACCGCCGTCCTATACTCTGCCCCACCGCACCGCTGCAATCGAAACCTACCATTGACGCCTTTAATTTTTCATCATCACCACTGACGACATCACCGCTCTATACAATTATCAATGACGCTACCATTACAATATGCACCATCGTCACCACAATGTCACATTAACAGTCAATACAGTGTAAAAGAATGGCATAACGTCAAACATGGCACCATATAATGTCACATATGACAATATATAATATCATAGATGCCCATATATAATGCCACATATGCTTATATATAATGTCACAATGTTACGCAATGACATAATGCCAAACCAAATCTAATGCCCTCCACGACCGCTAGCGAGAATTTTGAAAAAAATAGAATTCAATTAAAGATCGAGAGAGAAAATGCTCACTTTTGAAATCATGCTTTGACGAAGAGATATGGAGGTGGGCGGCGTGACACGAGTGCGGCAATGAATCTGAGAGGGATGGGGTGCATGGCGGCAGCATCGACGGCGCTATGATTTGGCGGCGGTGGCGGTGATGAAGTTGTGATTGGTTGGCGATGGCGATTAAAAATGATTGGAGAAGAAGAGGGTTGGATTTGAGCAATGTCGAATGCGATTGGACTAATCAAGAAAAAATATGAGTGATACGACTCTACCAAGATGATAAAATTGCTGATCGGCTCTAGAAAGACGCTGGCATGGAATTTCCCATGCACTATCCATTCAAACTAGACTTTAGAAGAACAATTTGCTGATCGGCTCCATCGAAAGACGCTAACATGGAATTTTCGACTATTTTGACTGTGAATGGATCTCAAATTTTATATTTCAATAATTTAACTCCTATTTAGGGGAGTTTAAGTTTGTTGTACTACTTTGGAATATGATACATGTTTTACTCCTATTTAGGGGGTTTTCTTTAAATACAACCCATCCTTGAATTTTCTCCCCACCAAAATGGCAACAACAAGTGGAGGTCATGCTACTTATTTGAGAGAAGAAGATAGGAAGTTTCCTTATGTTTTCGTTCATTGTATTGTGTGTTCCCCCAAAATGGCAACAACAAGTGGAGGTCATGCTACTGATTTGAGAGAAGAAGATATGAAGTTTCCTTAAGTTTCCTTGTGTGTTCCTTATGATTTGAGAGTTTTGTCTTTTACAACGAATGAAAATCCTGCTTTGTCAAGGCAGGATACAGAAATGATGTTTCTGTTCATACTAGGTACAAAGAGACAATTATTCAAATGCAATATTAGACCACTACGTAGAGATAAACTATAGGTTCCGACGGCCAATGCATAGACGAGTGCGCCATTGCTGACTTTTAATTGTATCTCTCCCTCCGTCAATTGACTACATTCATGCAAGTTCTGCATAGAAGTACAGATGTGAGAACCACATCCAGTATCCATCACCCAAGAGGTGATATCAGACATATTGACTTCGATAACGTAAATACCTGAGTTTTGGGGTTGACCCTGGTAAAGGTCTCTTAAGCATTGTATCATAGGACGCACTTCCATGTCCGCGTGGAGCCTTTGGAGCTGCGCGGTCATACTGGCCATAATGATACACTTTACATCTCGCGCGTCGTCCTCATACTTCTTGAAGGAAGTGAGTTCGGACGCACGAGCATTAGCATCAGGGGTCTTGGGAGGATCCGTTTCGAGGATGTAGAGTTTCCTCTCACAGTTAAGAATGATTCGGAGATTCATCTCCCAGTCAAGAAAGTTGGTCCCGGATAACTTATTATTTTCCAGGATGTAACGCAGGTTAAAAGGGTTGTTGTTGTTTGCCATCTACAGAAAATTTTGCAAACTAGGTTATCTATCATGTTTAATAATTAATTAGGCCTTTAATTAATTATCTCCCACTATTTTTAACAAATCAATAACCCTCGATATTGATTCAGAGATTTCCGGTGAAACCTCTAGTGGGCCAAGATCCATATTTCATTATCTTGCGTTCCGCTTGGGCGTTACTCCACAAGACAACTATTTAGGTAGGAACGTAGTTCCAACTGATGAGTCGGGCTCTCAGCTCTTGGTCTGGTGTTGGGCGAACAATATTACTACAACCGGACCAGGACACCTTTTCACCATACTTGTAATTGGCTGAGGCACGTCTTACAAGCAGACTACTTTGGTTAGGAACAGAGTTCCAATTAATTCATAAAGATCCAACTCCTGGCTGGATGAGTGAGTAAAATCATCCGACTTGTCATTGATGACCCCAACTTACTGCCTCTGAGTCATCCATCCATTTGACCGAGACTCAGTTAAGTCTAACCCAACGTGCGACAGCGACCACGCTATGGCGGTTCCCGTAACCAGCTTAACATACACCGTACTATGCTCTGCTGAGGCTAAGTACATGACAGTGTACATTAGCCGGATAGGTGCCGGGCGTCAGAAGGCAACCGACTTAATATTCGTGAGGGATTTAAAATTTCGATCTCACCTATCGACATGGCCGCGCACATGTCCATTACTAGCGTTCAACATACATTCAACATGCATTCACAAAACGCAGTAAATAAACGTGTAATGATTGTGGCCCCTAAAATAAAATAAAACGATAGCTCCCACTGGCTTCTGGGCACTTGGACTTCGGGCTATCTCCATTCTTTTAGATTTCTTCAAACGGTCTTCAAATCTTTTCGTTTTCAAACCACCACGTGAGAAAAGAATCCTCGGTTGAGCTAAGAGAGAGAAATAGATTTACAACAAGAGTTTATGAGATAAGGCACGACACGCATGCCGTATTATAATCAAATAAACTATAGCCACAATCATCCACCATGCATATCATACATCCACACAAGCAATAGAGATATACATACACCGGGTGAACCGCGGTCACCCCAGACAGTTCTAGAAAAATACTACCGCAGTAAATATTTTCTAAAACTCATAAAATTAAATTAGATGTCCAAATAAATCTAATAAAATTTTATAACAAGCATTTTATGCACTATGGATATTCTTCCAGCATAAAAAAAATATCCAGAATATTCCAAAAGACCAAAATGCCCCTTTTGCAAAATTATATTCAAAAAAGCCATTAAAATTTTGAAACAATTTTGCAAAAATCATGAAAATTATATTTCAACTTCCAGTAGTTATTTTTAACATTTATAAACCTGGAAATAAAATTTCCAAAATTTATAAATCATTATTTCCAAAATATATTAGTTAAATCTCAATAAGTTATAAAAAGCCATTTAAATTGATTTCGAAAATATTAAATTACAAAAATTTAATATTTTGAAAAACATTCTTTTTCTTACTGAGATATAACTTTCCAAAATATATATTAGTCATTTATGTAATTAAAATACAAATATATAAATATATTTAATATTTCGGTAATAAAACCGAGTANATAAAATGATGTTTTATGTCCAAATAAAATTATATTTACTATTTCTACAATATATATAAATATATATTTCGAAAAATCAAATATATATTTATATATATATTACGGGTAGAAATAAAATAAATAAATTTAGAATTCATTTTCAATGATTTATTTAAGTCCAGTACTTATTCCAAGACTAAATAAAATCATTTTACCAAATTTTGAATTTTAATAATTACCAAGTTAAAACTTTGACTTTTAAAATTTTAAAAGTCAAACGTAAAACTATAGTTTTGTACGTTGGCTCCGATACCACTGAAAGGTAACCATGCAAGGATAGGCAGCGGAATATAAAAAATTTTAACATCCTAACATGATTATCTTGCCAAGAATCACGTACTAAAACTTATAGTAAATAAGAAATTTATACCTTTCTCCGTAAGCGGTAAAAACGAAGAAGTCGTAGGAAGGGCGTTGAAAGTGCAAACGTAACCGTTCAAGCGTCCGGTCTCCAACTTTGACACACAAACAACGCCGGAGTCTAGCACAATCTTTATGCTAGTAAAGATTATAGTAGTATAAAATATAAAGATTAAAATTGGGATAATAATTATCTTGTATATTTCTATAGAAAATATTTCTAATAATATTTAGAAAATATTATAGATATTTTCTATACACAAAATGATATTAATGGAACCAAACTAATATTTTTCTCTCACTAGAAAAATTATGGCCAAATTTCCTTCACAAAATCATCATTTGGTTTGTGAAAAACCAATCTTTTTAAAGTGGACTAATTGTGCGTGACATGTATATTTAAAACAAAGATTAATCAAACTATTTTGTCATTAGCTAAATGACAAAATTAACTAGCCACTTAGTTATCAATCAAGAAAATTTGATTCTCAAAATCCTTATGATGGCCGAAATTTGATTATAAAAGTGAGAAGGATTTTTGAAATTCTTCTCCACTTAAATGTTTAAAGTGTATTTTATTTGACACCAAAAAATTAATATAAAATTAATTTTAAATCAAATAAAATATCAATATCATTTTAAACAAGTATACAAATATACTTTAAATAGTTTATGTCAAAATAATTATTTTCATAATTAAAATGACAAACCAAAATAAAATATTCAACATAATATATATATATATATATATATATATATATTAATTGGCACATATATAAAATATATATAACCGAATATTTATATATATATAATATTACATTCCAAAATATTTTATTTTACTATTTTACAAATATACAAATTACTTATTATCCCATTGTTTAATCCTACTCCTTAAATTGTCCAAAGTGTGTGACCTGTATAGGCACTTATAAAGCTGGCCACAGTATTGGCTCTGCACCAATACTATAAGCAATAAGCGGTATCTAGCAACACATTATTGCCCCCAGATTATAAGTTAAGACATTTGCACCGTCAAAACCTTTCCACGACTCAGACTCCGTGTAATTGTATTCCTTTGTCTCAATGTCTAGACATAATGCAAGGGATTAATAAAATCCAGCTTGTATCCATTAAGTCATTCACTGATTCATCAAGTCTGACTAATAGGAACAGGCGTCATAAAAACATCTCAGCATGGCCATGCAGTTTCCTCAATCATGACTTATCAGTGGGCCCCATAAGACATTAATCTCTTTTAAAAAGAGTAGTGACAAATCATATGTACGTAATCTACGTTTCTGAATACGCGCTGCGGCATACCTAAAACAAAGCTTGTATACCATCCTTATTTCATATGGCTTAGGACGATGCATCAAAGTATGCGGGTTCACATATGCAGAAAACGTAATACTTCAAGTCGAGGATAGTTACACCCGTGGTCGCGCTAAAGATGCTTAGAGCATGAACTAAAAGTTCAAGCAACATCTTTAGGATGGGTCAGTCCGGCATCCTATTATCTCCAGATAATATCTGCCCATGTGCGGATGCGAACACACCGTCATTGACTATGAGACTAAGTCAAAACATCCAACACACACTAGTCTCACATGCATTAACGATATCCCACTCTCGTTAATACTCGACTATGGACATTCAGATAAATATTTATTTCAAGATGTTAGTCTCATTAGCAGAATAACACTATCTGATAAACATCTTTAAATATAAATCTAGGAATATAATATTTGTTTACATTAGCATGAGATGTGTAAACATATTATATCTGCCTATAGATGATAGAATAATGATAAACAGTTGGCCATCAAGGCACAACTCCAACACTCCCACACCCAAAAGCCACTCCTTCATTTAGCTACTGCCCTCTGTTAGAATAATAGACCAACGCTAGAGGGGGGGTGAATAGCGTTTGATCGTAGAAATCGCAGGAATTAAAAAATTAAAAGAGAAGTAAAGAGAAGAGTAAAAGGCACACCGAAATTTACCCTGGTTCACCACAACTTGTGGCTAATCTAGCCTCTCGAGAGACTCTCTCGAGCTACACTACTATCTCGTTAAGCTTGCGGGTGCTTAACAAACCGTTACAACTTGAGAGTTCGAGTTACACGAACCTCAACGAGTCCTTCAAAGGAAACTGATGTTCCTTTGAATCTACCAAGAGAAATACTTTCTCTCAAAGTGTCTAAGAACACGAATACACTCAAGAACGAGACTCTCTTGTAGAGTAGATTATGAGTAAACTAAGTACGCTCAAGAGCAACTCAACCTTCACACAAAATGGCTCAAGAAAGCTATGAAAAATGATGATATTTGAATGCAATGAAAGTATGAATGTTGTGAAGTGAATTGGTGAGAAAAGCAGACCCAAACACCCCTTTTTATAGTGCCAAAATAGGCTCCAACGGACCAATACATTAAAGGGGTGATTGGCTTGATTTATGGGATTGAATAAATTTGGGATCTGCAGGATATTGGCTTCCCAGCGATGTATGGACCTTACCCATCGCTGGTAGGCCAATTTTCCTTGAGTTTTGAAGCCAACGGTCACCTATCCATCGATGGGTACATGCTTCCCATCGCTGGGTGGGAGGGTGACTTCCAAACATGGAAAGAATTAACCTTAAATGACTTACAACAGTCATGCCTTCCCATCGATGGTTAAGCCTTCCCATCGCTGGGTTCCCATCGATGGGTAATGCTTCCCATCGCTGGGTAAGGGCATTTTTCCTTGTGATAATGTTGGACCAAGGCTTTAACAGGGATGGGTAGAACCTCCCATCACTGTTTGACATGGTTCTGGAAGTTGGTTTGGCTAAGGGGCCGCTTACCCATCGATGGGATGTTCTTCCCATCGCTGGGTGGGTGGTTAGCCAAAAACCTATAGTTTTTGCCTTAACCACGGCATAGCCAACCGATGCAAAAACCGACCGAAAACTCCAAAGTTCTCCAAAATAAAAACCAAGTGTTTGAAACACTTATTTGATGTATATGGCTAAGAAATCAAGTGAGTTACTTTAAAAACCACGTCATTTGAGTAAGAACCACGGCTAGCCAAGTTTACGCCGTTTTCCGTGGTTTTTGTCAAACGACTAAAAACGAAAGATGGTTTTCAAAGTGTTTTTGTTGGAGAACCGTTTAAACATGCCAAAGAGTGAAAGCAGATCATAAAATGCTGAAAACCACTTGGTTGGTTCGGATGCCAAATGTAACGCCCTGCAACCCGGTCTAATAGAATTGATTAATTTAATTAATTAATTACTGTTCCAGACCGGGGTTGGGAAAATGAAAAGTTCTTAGAAAAATTATTTGATCATATCATTAAATTCGTCTTGACTGTCTTATTCTAGAAACGCAAACGGATTTCAATTCGGACCCGTTTGGGGGAAAAACGCGTACCGTTCAGGTCAGATTTTACATTACGGAGTAGAGTAAATATTTGTAACCTCCATCCCATTCACACGCCACTCTAATAATGCTCACTTAAGTCCCCATTACTTATTTCATTATTATTCTTATTTTAAAACCCCCATCCCATCCTTTTCCTCTTCCACTTTGTAACCCCCATATTCAACACACCACCACTCTCTCTTCCCTTTTCTCTTGATTCGTCCAAAGCAGCAGCAGCACCAAGGGGAATTCTGGTAGTAGACGCGGAGGAGGGAGAGAGGGAAGTGCACGTGTGAAGCAGGCCGTTCGTTTGTTCGTCGGTTGTCCGTTCATTAGCACCATTCGTTCATCTCGTTCCATCAATCCCTCCATTTAGAGGTGAGTAGTTGTCCCTCTAATTCTAGAACATTTAGTTATAATCTATGTCTTTATATTCATAGGAATATCGTACGCAACCTACGTAGAATCTATGCATGTTCGTAGGTTAACAATCAAACATACGAGAGTCCGTGTTATCAAGTTACGAACTCGTTAATACAAGCATTTTGAAACTCCGTATATTCATGGAATACTTAACATGTAATCATAAACGTTTGTTCAAAGAAAACTCCCAACGTATTGATGATAACCAAACAGTCAAAATGGGAATCAGCGTGCCTTGGTAATCGATTTACAGAACGGAAAAAACCGACTATCAGGTCACGCTGAACTCCTCAGTTGATCCAGCATAGTGTGACATTCGATTATCACATAAGTGGTAATCGATTATCAGGCCCTGCGGATTCTTGAGTCAGAGCTGGTTCACTTGACAATCGATTATCTCAGAGCAATAGTCGATTATCAGGTCTCTCTGAACATAGGACTTTCCTGATAAACCAACTTGACAATCGATTGTCATAGGGTGACAATCGACTATCACAATCTGCAGGACTTTGGGGACAGAAGCTGCACAGCATGATAATCGATTATCAACAACAGATAATCGATTATCACCCAGTTCTGAACCCAGGGCCATCATGTTGAACAAATCATAATCAAGCACATATGTAAGAATTGAATCAATGCATTCATTCCATCATGTTCGTTTCTAGACGGATGTTCTAGGTTTCCATCATATGCATACCGCTGTAAGGAGGACTTCAAGCGCCTACTATAGTGGGCCCGTCCAGGAACCTTTGGGGACTAGCGGGTTTTCATCATGTTGGGTTTGTGTACATACATAGTAGTCAGGTTACGGCTACTACCCGGTTTTGCTAGTCCACTCGCGATGTTTTCATCGTGCCCGGCTCGTTACCGTTCGGGGACGATGACCGGAGTGCAGGGGTGATCCTGTCGAGTAAGACTAAGCCAGGGGTGTCCCTGATAGTTTAAGTCATGCATTAGGTCATATCATCATCATTATGTTCCTTGTTATTCGAAACAGCTTTAACAGGTGAAAACTAAACAGTTAGTAACGTGTGGTGTCCCGTACGTTAAGTACAGGTATTGATATGGGTATAGCCATATGGGTTATCACTTCATGTTCTTTTGTTAGATTCACTCCTCAACTTTTGCTGAGCGTGTAGTTGTTTTTGCTACACGCAGGTAGCCATGACGGAGCAGGTGCCAACCCTGGAAAGCGGTGACGATGGGGAGATGGGCGGCGCACGGACGAACTCTTAATTACTTTCAATAACTTCAGTAATCAATTGGGCATGAACCCACCCTTGTCGTTATTTAGTTTGGACTGAACTTATTTAATTACTTCCGCGATTCCTCTGCACTTTTATTACACACGTTTTGGGAGTAACTCCCTGGCATTTATTCCTTTAATTAAAACCCAAACGTTTTCTTATTAAATAGTCATTAATGTTTTCGTAACGGATGGTTCTCGGACTGTCCATGTAACCCTACCAGTCCGTTGGGTTGCGGGTGAACCGGGTCCACGGAAGGCGGGTGTTACACCAAAAACCAAAGCCGATAACCGAAAGCCGAACGCTGGTTTCTGAAAGCCAAACACTGGATGGCTTGGTATTTGGTTTGGGCAAACACCAAGTGTTTTTAATGACTTAAACAAGTTTGAAAACATTTTTATGATGTAGGAGATGCAATGAGAGATTTGAGCTTAAAGAGCCAAGGTGTAAAGATTGGGTCGATCTTGATCACAATAAAGACTGACTCAATACTATGACTAAGGTCTTCGTTCTTGGTCTTCGTTTAGTTCTTGCTCTTATCTTCGTTCTTCGCCTTGTATATTCTATGTTCGACTTGATCACGGCGGTTTGGCATTATCAAAACCTGTTACAAAAACGAACACGGCTTTAGTACGAAAACGTGACAAGCCCGTGTTTTAACAATTTCCCCCTTTTTGATAATGGCAAACGAGATGAGGTTATGCATAGGAGGATTATTTTGAAAAAAGAATGTTCCCCCTTAATAGATGCCATTTTACAAGGAAAAAAAAAATTCCCCCTCAATTTATGCATAACCTTAATATCTTCCCCCTTTTGACATTTACAAAAAGAATTAAAAGTAAACTTTAGAATTTTAAAAGTAAACTTTTATTCATTAAAAAGGGAAATGCGGAATACAACGGAATGCAAATACAATCATAGTAAGAAGAGAAAAGAAGAGTCTAGGCATCGGCGTCCTCGTCGGCATCCTCATCGTCCTCGACGTCCATGGGATCGCTGTCGACCGCATCTTCAAAGTCGGCCTCGTCGGGGGAGGAGGACGGAGCGTAGGAGTTGTCGTCCTCATCCTTGCCTTCAAAGTTTTGGCCGAGAATGGTGCTGTCGAAAGGTGGCGGAACGTAGTTGACGCCACAGAAGTATGCCATCATGTCGTGGTGTTGGCGTTGCAACGTCAAGTCCATCCGCTCGATTGACTGCCCCATGCCATCCACTGTGAGGGTTAGCCGATTCATAGTATCGGCTATGGATTGCAAAGAGGCCTTGGCGGGAGCGTGGGCTGGTGCATGACTTGGGCCTGCGCCGTCCCTGTCTCCGGACTTCTTCTGGAAGGTGCTGTCTTGAATGATCCAAATCTTCGTCATCTTCGTATCCGGGCCGGCGATAGAGATGTCGGCGGAGATGATGAGGTCCATGACGAGGAAGGCGTATGACAATCTCCGCTCAGTGGCGATGGAGGCGCAATCCTCCATGTGGATCATCACGAATTTCGCCCAATTGATGGAGGCGCCGTGGATGATGGCGTGAATCGCCTTCAAGTCCACGTTGAAGAGCGAGGTATGGCTGCTGTCCCGGGGGCGGAGAATTCTGGTGATGATGTAGAGGAGGAGGCGCTTGTCCGGTGGGGTCGAGTGGATCGTCAGCGCGCCGCTGTGGCGGATCAAGTTGGTGATCCCAAGTTCACGAATCACGACCGCCTCGTTGTTGAGGATCCAATCCTCGCCACCATAAGTTGCGATGTCGTCACTGCGGATAGGCAGCCCTGCGACCCGAGCAAAGGTAGGCAAATCAATCTCTATGTCGTAGAGATTGATGCTACTGCGTATGGTGTCCCCGTCACGGTGGAGATTGGAGTAGAAGGCCCGGACGAAGGCGGGATTGAAGCTCGAGCGGCTCTTGGAGACGAATAGCCACAAACCCAACGCTTGGAGCTGGTTGTCGAGGTCGTGGTACCCTTTGTCTTGGGGAAACAACTCCGGGAGCATGCGGGGCGGAGAGATCGGGCGCTTGGCGAAGTGAGTGAGGAAGCGTGTGAGTTCTTCCTCTGACCCAAACTCCAAGAAGGATCCGTCCAGGTACGAGAAAGGTTGAGGCGCAGAGCTCGTAGCCTCGGTGGTGACCTTCTTCTTCGAAGCTTTTGTCTTCTTTCCTCCGGCCATGATTGAAGCAAAAAGATGAAGAATTATGTAAAAGAGGAGATTTTGATGTGAAAAATGTGTGTTAAAATGAGTAGAGATGAAGGATATATATAGGAAAGGCTGAGAAATCCGTTTGAATTTGAAAAAAGTGACTGTTGGGCAATAAATTCGGTGACCAACGGTTAAAAAATTTGAATTTGCAGCAGGCTTCCCAGCGATAGGTGGAACTTCCCATCGATGGGAAGGTCGACACTGGAAAGCGAAGGAGAAAACAATGGCTGCCTTCCCAGCGATGGTAAAACTCACCCATCGATGGGAAGGTGGCTACTGGAAATCCGATAAAACGCTTTTAAAAAAATGACAAAGACCCAGCGATGGGAGAAAGTTCCCATCGATGGGTAGGGAGGTTCTGGAAAAAAAATTTGAAACTGAAATCATTCACCCAGTGATGGGTTGAAATACCCATCGATGGGTAAGGTGTTTCTGGAAATCCGTTAAAAGTTTAAAAAAAAATAGAGTCAATTACACATTGATGGGAGAAAGTACCCATCGATGGTAAGAGAGGTTCTGAAAAAATAAAATTGACAAAAAGTCCTTCACCCAGCGATGGGATGAAATGCCCATCGATGGGTAAGGTGTTTCTGGAAATCCGTTAAAGAATTTTAAAAAAATAGAGTCAATTACCCATCGATGGGAAGAAGCACCCATCGATGGGAAGAGGGGTCCTGGAAAATTGAAGACTTCCCTCCCAGCGATGGTATAACACACCCATCGCTGGTTACCCCTGATTTCCAGAATTCTTCACTTCGAACCGTCCCTGCAAAAAAGAGTTAGAAAACCCTCTGACGCTCAAGTTAGTAAACGTTCAAGCACAGAAAAAGGAGTGATAAAATGCACAAATTAGATCATCGTGGAGTCAAGGTTTCCATGTTCGCTACGAATGCGGAAGAACGACTCTTTCTCCAAAGGTTTTGTGAAAATGTTGGCTAATTGGTTGTGTGTTTCAACAAACTCAATTTCGACATCACCTTTGGGAACATGATATCTAATGAAATGGTGCCTGATGTCAATGTGTTTCGTCCTTGAATGAAGAACGGGGTTCTTCGTCAAGCTTATGGTGCTAGTATTATCACAACGGAGTGGAACGTGACTGATACTAAGGCCATAATCCACGAGTTGTTGCTTCATCCAAAGGATTTGAGCACAACAACTACCGGCGGCAACGTATTCCGCTTTGGTTGTGGATAACGCAACATTGACTTGTTTCTTACTAAACCTTGAAACTAAAGAGCTACCAAGTAAGTGGCAAGTCCCACTTGTACTTTTACGGTTCAATTTGCAACCGGCAAAGTCCGAGTCGGAATAACCAGCGAGATGACACGAAGAGCCTTTTGGATATCACAGTCCAACGTTAACCGTGCCAACAAGGTATTTCATGATCCGTTTCACCGCTGTTAAGTGTGATTCCTTCGGACATGATTGATACCTTGCGCAAAGGCATACGCTAAACATGATATCTGGCCTACTGGCGGTAAGATAGAGAAGGGATCCGATCATACCTCGATACTTTTTTACTTCTACTTCCTTATCTTTCTCGTCTTTGTCTAGATGGTCGGACGTGCTCATCGGGGTCGCCATGGCTTTGGTGTTGTCCATTTCAAATCGTTTTAGGAGCTCCTTGCAATATTTAGTTTGACAAATGAACGTGCCATCATTCATTTGCTTGACGTGGAGTCCCAAAAAGAATGTGAGCTCACCCATCATCGACATTTCGAACTCGCTTGTCATTAACGTTGAGAATTCCTTGCACAAAGACTTGTTAGTAGCACCGAATATAATATCGTCTACATAAACTTGATCCAAAAGGATGTTATTGTTTTTACTCTTGATAAAAAGTGTAGTGTCAACCTTTCCCCTTTGGAAACCACTATCCAAAAGAAATTTACTCAACCATTTGTACCAAGCACGGGGTACTTGTTTAAGACCGTAGAGCGCTTTCTTGAGTTTGAAGACATGGTCCGGAAACTCAAAGTCTTCAAACCCCGGGGGCTGGTCAACATACACTTCCTCTTGAATAAAACCATTGAGGAAGGCACTCTTAACATCCATTTGATAAAGTTTAAAATCCATAGACGAAGCAAAAGCAAGAAGTAAACGAATAGCTTCTAAACGTGCTACACGTGCATAAGTTTCTTCGAAATCAATGCCTTCTTCTTGATTGTAGCCTTTAGCTACGAGCCTAGCTTTGTTTCTAGTGATTATTCCATTTTCATCAAGTTTGTTACGGAACACCCATTTCGTACCAATAACCGTACGATCATCGGGTCTTGGCACCAATTCCCAAACGTCATTCCGTTTGAATTGGTTTAGCTCCTCTTGCATAGCCAAGGTCCAATGTTCATCGTTTATTGCTTCGGAAATGGTTGTAGGTTCAATTTGAGAAACAAAAGCCATGTGTCCTACGGTGTCTCTAAGTGAGTTACGAGTACTTACCCCGCGGTTGATGCTACCGACTACCTGGTCAAGCGGATGGTTCTTGTTTGTTCTCCATGCTATGGGAAGCTCGGTTGTTTCTTCTTCGTGTTCCTCTTGTTCTTCTTCTTCCTCCTGATTTTCTTCTTCACCTTGGTTAGTCGCTTGAGGTATCTCCCTAGTTTGTGGTTGTGTGTTGATGTATATTCCTTTGTTGTCTTCATCGTCATCAACGTGTATTCTCTCTAATGAATCTGCAAGATCATCACAAATATCCTTTCTCGCCAGGAGAGGATTATCTTCGGAAAATACAACGTGAGGAGACTCCTCAATAGTCAAGGTACGTTTATTGAAGACTCTATAGGCCTTTCTACGTAATGAGTAACCCAGAAAAATTCCTTCATCCGACCTGGCATCAAATTTGCCTAAATTGTCTTTGCTATTGTTGTGAATAAAACATTTGCAACCAAAGACTCGAAGATAGGAAAGGTTTGGCTTTCTCCCTTTGTATAGTTCATAGGGCGTTTTCATGAGTATCGGTCGAATGACGGATCGGTTTAACACGTAGCTCGCGGTACTCACGGCATCCGCCCAAAAATACTTAGGGATTTTTGCCTCATTGATCATAATTCTAGCCATCTCTTCGAGACATCTATTTTTACGTTCCACCACTCCATTTTGTTGTGGTGTACGTGGGGCTGAGAGGTTATGATCAATGCCAAGTTCGTCACACAAATCTGAAAACAGATTTCGTTCGAACTCTCCCCCATGGTAGCTTCTTATGGCTACTATGGTTGTTTCTTTTTCATTTTGAACTTTCTTTAAGAAATTTTTGAAAACGTGAAATGCCTCACTTTTATGAGTTAGAAACAAGGTCCATGTAAACCTAGAGTAGTCATCGACAATCACAAATGCAAAGTAATTGCCACCAAAACTTTTCGTTCTAGAGGGACCAAAGAGATCCATGTGCAAAAGTTGAAGCGGTCTAGACGTTGAAACAAATTCATCATAAAGCTCTCGAAGAGCGCCTTGCATTTCTTCAAAAGTGTAAGAGTCGGAAGAAGGGGTACATACCTCTTGTACTTCGTTGACGTGGTCTTCGTGTGCCATGAGACAGAGGTTGGCGGCTTCTTCCTCTTCTTGATCCGTTGACTCATCCCCGGAGTCGCCACCCCATGAGATGTAGGCGCGTTGCTTTTTGAAGCCAGGTTTGTCCTTGCCGCTTTTGCCTTTTGGACACCTCGGCTTGATGTGGCCTATCTCACCACAGCCATAGCACTTCGGGGGACCATCGTGCTTTCTTCCTTTGCGCTCAAATTCCTTCTTCATAAATTTGTGGAATTTCTTGATGACGAGTCCGAACTCGTTGTCATCATCACTTGAGTCTTCTTCCATAGTCTCCTTGGTTGCTTTCAGTGCTATTCCCTTCTTCTTTTGTTCATCCAAAGACGGAGTTAGAATAGTAGATTCATAAGTTTTGAGGTTACCTCTTAGCCCATCGATGGTGACATCGGAGACTCCGATGGATTCGTAGATTGCGCCAGCCTTTGATCTCCATTCGGGTGTGAGACTCTGCAGGATTTTCCTCACAAGGTCCTTGTTGGCGTACGTCTTCTTGAGAGCGTGAAGGTCGTTGATGATCTTTGAGAACCTATCGAACATGTCATCGATCTTTTCGCCTTCCTTCATCCTGAACATCTCGTACTCTTGCGTTAGGAAGTCAATTTTGGCTTCCCGAACTTGGTCAGTACCTTCATGTGTGACTTCCAGCTTGTCCCACATTTCTTTTGCAGTGGTGCAGCAAGAGATCTTGCGATAATCATCAGGATTGACCGCACAGTACAACATGTTGATTGCCTTGGCGTAGTTCTCCACCTTTTTGATGTCTTCGGCATCAAATTCGTCTTCGGTCTTTGGGACGAGTTTTTCATCGACCTTCTTCATTGGCGTTTCTTTGCCGTTTTTGATGACCAACCACAACTGGAAGTTGGTTGAGCGGATATAAATTCTCATCCGCTCTTTCCAATATGTGTAGTTGGTGCCATCAAAAAGCGGTGGCCTAGAGGTTGATTGACCTTCTCCAATTCCTGCATAAAGATTTCTAGAAGAAGAACCCATGATCGCTTTACTCTCAAACGGTTAAGTTTGGACGCGAGTTAGGCTCTGATACCAATTGTTAGAATAATAGACCAACGCTAGAGGGGGGGTGAATAGCGTTTGATCGTAGAAATCGCAGGAATTAAAAAATTAAAAGAGAAGTAAAGAGAAGAGTAA